TTTATAACAAAATAATTTCCCCTCCTCTTTGTTGGGATATTTTGCCAAAAAAAAAACATCATATCCATCCTCACCAACTATTTGTATCCATATTGGCGGCTCTCGGGATAAAGCTCGAGCCTTACCATATCTTAGTGCAGCCAGAAAAGCTTCAGGTTATGCCAATGTCAGGTGAACCACTGCATGCTGCAATATTATCAATTGATCATGCTTTACGGATAATACGGTCCATAAGCCACGTTATAATTGGGGCGGATGCATATGACCTCATAAGGGATCAAATGCATACATTTTATTTTAGATTAAATATTAAAAATAGTAAATGAAAAAAGGGAAAAAGAAATTTTGTTTATACTTTATATTAAAAAATAGTATTAAAAATTTTAGAATCTCATTTCTAAATTTTTAGATCCGCTACTTCACACATTGTTTGATACTAATTGGGTTATTTTTGGGGGTGTCCTTTGGTTTATGCCATTTTCTATTTGGTAGGTAGCCAGGCAGGCCACTTAATGACTGTTGTATCATGCTCGTATCCGAGTATAATCCCGTAAGATACTTGAAAAATAGTGATTTCATGGATTTTTGTCGAGTAAATTTAGGGTTTTTAATCGGAATATTTATAATTATACCTACCGACCAAAGTAGGGTGGAGGTTTCTGGCACTGCAAACAAACAAAGCCCTCTAACCGTCATCTGCTTTAACCTCGTTTTTAGCGCATCATTTCCCAAGTAGCTTTGCCTCGTACCATTTATGCCGTGCATCTTTCCTCAACCTTTTTGCCCATGTCTTGCATGTTAAGTTCACAGATTACAACAGGCTTAAATGACCCGCCGCCCTTAAAATATACCTTTTGTAATGAGTTACTTTATAAAGTAATTTCTTTATCCCTAAATTTAAATCGTTATCTCATTTATTTTAATCGGTTAATCATATTAAAAATAGAATAGGTAAATTATATATTTAGTTACTCAACTATTTTCATGGTTCTGTTTCTGTCACTAAGTTATTTTTTTTTCAAAATAATCACTAAATTTAATTTTTTGTTATATTGTAGTCACCTAATTCGATTCAATTTATCTTTTTAAATTTGTAAAATATAATAATTCATTTATATCAAATATTTTTTCACTCGACATATACATCTAATTTATAATGATAAATAATATTATAACGTAAATAATAAACAACATATTAAGTTGTTTTTGCTTGAAATTTTAATAAAACAAATGTTAAATTAAAATATCATAAATATTTTAAGAAATAAAAATATGAACAGATCATTATTCATTTATAAATATATATGTTTTTAATAAAATTTAAATCTCATATTTTGAATCGGACTAGTTTTAAATAAATATAAAATATATTTATATCACATATTATTTCCAAAAAGAATATAAAGGCAGCTTCAGCAGTTAACGGAAAATTTCTCAATACTCTGATCTTTCCTGTTCTGAATCCGGTTCATTTCCACACCTGCTAAACACACAAACGTCGAGAATATATTTTATACTTATTTAAAATACGAGAATTAAAGTTTATTAAAAATATATATTTACAAATTAATAATGACTCATTCATATTTTTATTCTTAAAATATTTATGATATTTTAATTTAATATTTATTTATTTTATTAAAATTTCAAGCACAAACAACTTAATATGTTGTTTATTATTTACATTATAATATTATTTATCATTATATATTAAATGTACATGTCGAGTAAAAAAATATGTAATATAAATGAAATATTATATTTTACAAATTTAAAAGGATAAATTGAATCAAATTAGATGACTAAAATAAAACAAAGACTTAAGTTTAGTGATTATTTTAAAGAAAAAATAACTGAGTGACAGAAACAGAACTGTGAAAATAATTGAGTGACTAAATATGTAATTTACCATGCTATATTTAACAGAGTTAACGATTCGGGGCAAATGAGGTAGCGATTTAAACTTCAGGAGGTAAAATGTATCGAAAAATACTTTATGAAGCAACTCGGTACAAATGGTATAGTTCAAGGGACAATGGGCATTTAAGCCATTAGAATATAAGGTGAATTACGTATTTAGTACCTAAACTATCAGTTTTGGTTCGTTTTATACCTAAACTTTTAATTTTTTAAAATAATACCTAAAATTTAGTTTTTGTTTCATTTTAGTACACCGCCGTTAAAAAACTTCATCTTTTGTTTCATTTAGGTACAATTTTCAAAATTTAACGTTAAGTTTTGAAAAGATTGAAAGTTTATGTACTAAAACGGGCCAAAATTGATAGTTTGTGTATTAAACGCGTTAAATTTTTAATGGTGGGTATTAAACTAAAATGAAAACCAAACGTTATATATGATTTTAAAAAAAATTGAAAGTTTAAGTATAAAAATAGACCAAAACTAATAGTTTAAGTACTAAATAAATAGTTTACCATAGAGTATAACCACCATCTCATGTAAGTTCGGTTTCACTTTTTTCCCCTTATTTATAATAAAACCAGGAGAAACATATTCTTTTTGTCTTTAACTTACAAAAATAAAAGCTAAGCCTTGCTCATTTGGCACCATTGCTAAAATGTTTTTATTATTATTAAAGTCAGGAAAAAAATTTACCAAAATAAAAAGAAAAGTTATCAACAATAATTTTGAATATAATACCTTTTTAAAAATAAAATAAAAACGTTGAATTTAAATATATTAAACAGTATAAATATTAAAACGATTTACTACAATATAAAAAGACGTTATTCAAAATTTTAGACTAATAACTCGAACAACTAAGGGTGCGTTTGGTTCACGGAATGTAAGATTACCAGTGGGAATGTAAGATTACCAGGGAATAAGATTACTGGGAATGTTGTATTTTGTGTTTGGTTGGCTTAACGGGGATGTAAGATTACCATGTTTGGTTAAAAGAATAAAGGATTATTGTAATGTATATTTGACCAAATTGTCCTTATTATATATTTTTTTAACAAGTTGAAAAATATTTATATATTTTCTTTAAAAAAATTAAATTTATAAAATTTATATAATTTTTTTACACATTGAAAATATAAAAAGGTTTAATGAAAGGGTACAATTTTATTTTAACTCCTGAACTTCATATAAAATTTTAATTATAGACTTTTTTTTTGTAAATCTAAAATAGTTTAAGGATAAATTTTTAATTTAACATTCGTAGATTTTTTATTATTCAATGACAGAAGAAGTATATTTTTGAAAGAAAAAAAAAATTAAGGGCATTTTAGTCCAAAATGCCGGTAATCCAAAAATACCTAAGGAAATGGAGGTAATGACATTCCCGGTAATATAACCCAAAAAATATACTATTGGTAATAAAACATTACCGGGAATGAGATTCCCGGCCAACCAAACATGGGAATGTGAGATTCTCATCCCATGGGAATCCCACATTCCTTGAACCAAACACCCCCTAAAGGTGTATTGTAAGTAGAGTACAATAAATAATCGGGACATATAAAATATGATTCGAATTATAAAAAATTACTTTATGATGAATGTAATTATTTTATTAATTAAAAAAATTATATGCCTCCAATAATAATTTGGATGAATGAAATTTATTTATGAAAAAACTTAAAATATCAAAAGTATATGATTTTGGTAAATTATATAAACATCTTAATTAGTCTAGAGGTATTACCTATGTGTTATAAGATCATCACGTTTAAATTTTAAAATAGTAGTCGATATTTTTCAAATCATTTTAAAATAATAGCCATGCACGGGATACACTGATAATATGTTTGGTTAAGATTATTGACTTAACATATCCAAAAGGATATGTGATTTGTTTCGACATAATAATATAAAAACTATAATGTATGAAGATAATGTATAACTAAATTAAAAGGATGATACATCAAAGAGATAAAACGAAAAATATTTCTCAAATTTGTTCTCCATCGTGATCTTTAGAAAAATGTTAATATTGATATTCAATGAAACCATTCCAGTGATAAATTTAAAAGATCTATTTAAGATTTGTGGTTTGAATTGTAAAGATCCAAATAGTTTATGTGTTGTTGTCACAAGGAATAGTAAATACTATTTATACTTTTTTAATCGATCTTTTTTCCTATTAAATTATCTTAATAAGATTTTAACGAGATAAATATCTTAAGCATGAATGCCCATTAGGATTAAAACTTGTGAGAATACTGCTATGGAGGCTGAGAGTGATGTAAGCCGGTGGACAGGGGTAACAAATGAAGAAGGAGAAAACTTAAAGATAACGTTTTGTAATTTTCATTCGGATACTCTTAAACTGCATTACAACCAGCTTATATATATAATATGTGCCTTCAAGCTTACTCTACCTCTATAACAAATTCATAACAGACTCCAACATTCCTTAACAGTCATAACAACTCACACACACAATGCACATATTAAGAGCACATGCAAACTTTGTATATTCTAGAATACAATCGTGTATTCTAGATACTCTAATAAAACTTTATATCAAAACTTTTGTCTATCAAAATTAAAGTTATATATGCTTCATAATGCATAATTTTTTCTTTATCTATCATACCTATTGTTATTGTTATATTTTTTTTGCATAATAAATATTTTGTTATTTACTGACAATTATTATTTATAAACTAAATAGTTACAGCCCAAAAACGACGTCGTATAATAAACCGCAGCCCTAGGGTTACCCGTTTTCCCTAGGGACAGTCACCACCGACCCTAAAATTCCGAATCTTGTAATGGGAGCGTCCGTTGAACTTGTCTTAATTTAAAAAAAAAATACAAAAATAAAAAGGAAAAATACATAATAATAAAAACAAAAGGAAACTCTCGGTTCATGCTTCTTTCGAGGAACAATTTTTGCCCTTTTTCTTTCTATTTGTTTTTTGTTAGATTCAGATCATCGTTGCCTTCATTTTCTCAACAACCCTATTCCTCCATCTTCTTCTTTGATCTTAATTATAGTTTCTCCCTTTCTTCTCTTCTTTAATATCAATCCCCTCTTTTTTTTTGTTTCGTTTCAGAACAAAACAAAATTAATCCCATCTTGCTCGTGCACCCAAATCTCTTTTGCTTTCACTTCTCGTTCATTATCGAGCTCTCTCTGTTTACAACCCTTCTTTCTAGTTAGTTCTTCTGTTATCGGTTCTAATGCAGGTTTTTTGTGAAGATGTGTACGTGGAATTTGCTTTGCTTGTGTTTGATTGACATGCAGTGAGAAGGATACGTGTACGGGGTTATTGAGTTGAAATTGGAAAACGAAGAGAAGGGTGGGAATCCAAGGAGGAAAAAAGAGAAAGAGAGATGGCGAATCAGGTCGTCAAAGTGAAGAGAGAAGCGATTGCGGCATGCATGACTTGCCCTCTTTGCAATAAGCTTCTTAGAGATGCCACCACCATATCTGAATGTCTTCATACATGTGAGTCTATCTCCTTCTCTTCTTTCAGATTTCAAATTTTGTTCTTTTTAAGCTCATTTGTTCTTGATTCTTCGATTTTCTATTTTTTTCTTCATTCCTTTGCTTTCTGTTTTTCTTCTGATCTGGTTTGCTCTTGTTTTTCTCGGTTTTGCTTCTTATCCTCAGTGTTGACCTGTTCGTCTAATTCTAGTACTAATATACCATGCCTTGATAAACTTACGGTATTGCTGTTTTCCTTCTGTTTCCTTCTGTTTCGTATTTCTTGATGCTAAGGCATTATGGTACAATAGCAAAATTAATACGAGAATACTCGTTGCTGATTAGTTTAATAAACTAGTAACATCATGTTTCTTTGTTGATGTCTAGTGTCTGCTTTTAACAATACAGTTTGTTGTTCGAGAAAGTTGATTTCCAATAGAATTCATTCATGGCTTCTGTTTATTTGACTGTAAATCGGTATTTTTTGCACTCAGTTGTTTTCCACATTAAGCTGAGGCTTTCCAATATCATTTTCTTCATTTCCAATTCAAGGGTCCTTTCCAACATTGGAGATTTCCTTTTCTGTTTTGTAAATCCTTAATAAGATTCAAATTTTAAGATGGTTTCCCAGTTTTTGAAATGGAATGGAACCAGCCTTTTTCCAAGTTAAATAAGAGTTTCAATTGCCATATTTATTTTGCTTTCTTCATTGAAACATTTTCTAGGATTGATGCGTGTGGTCTTTATTTAAGCGCCAATGAAGTCTGTTGAGAAAATTAATAGAAATCTATGATAGATTTGTCTTTTGAATTTGTTTAGTTTGCAGAAAGTGCATATATGATAAGATAGAAGAGGAAGAACTAGAATGCTGTCCAATATGCAACATCGATTTGGGTTGTGTTCCTCTGGAGAAATTAAGGTACCCTTCATTGACCTGTTATTCACCTCTACCAATCTGTAAGTCCTCAATGACACTTTTTTTTAATTTAAGGAACCCATAGTTTTAATTTTGTCAAATACTCCAAAAATATTATTTACTTGTTTCAAGTGGTTCTAGCATAGTTTACTGATTTCTTCTGAATGCCTTATGATCATTAGTTTTTTTTTTTTTTTTACAAATTAGGGGCTACTAAATATTGAACTGGAAATATCTAGTCATAGTTTAGCTCTGTTATGCAAATGTTAGAATTCTATTGTGCGTCTCTCAATGCCAAAATTCAAGGTGAAAACTGTTGAACCGGAAAAATGACCTTATAGTTGCAGCCTTTGGCTTTCCTGTATAATCAATCCTTTCGAGTCTGGGTTGAGCATCCGCACACTATGAACTATATTGGTCAATTAACATGATGGAAAGTTTATTGTGTATTGAAATTTGTGTGTGCTTGTAATAATCAGACCAGACCATAATTTGCAAGATGTGAGGGCTAAAATCTTCCCTCTTAAAAGAAGAAAAGTTAAGACACCTGAAGTTGTGCCCCCAGTTACAATGCCAGCTAGAAGAAAGGAGAGATCACTCTCTTCATTGGTGGTTAATGCCCCCAAAGTGTTGTCACATACGGCCATGACTGGAAGGAGAACAAAAGCTTTTACTAGAAAGGCTGGTGCTTTACGACATTCCACCTTTTCGATTGAGAAGCCTGTTAAAAAAGATGAAGACTCTATGGAGGATAACCAGGAGAGTGCGAGCTCACCTGAAACGCTAAATAAATTCACTCAGAATAAAAGACAGGTAAATTGAAGACATTCTTTTAGGCTAGAACTTTTATTCTCATGGGGCCTAATATTTGTTCTCAAACATCCATTCTACTTGAAATTACTGCTGTTTTACCTTAAACTGATAATACCTGTCGTGTTATAAAATTGAACTACACAGTGTACTTCTTCTGCTGAACATATCCAACACATGAATAAAGAAGCAGAGAATGGAGGTGAAGCATGGGATGGGAAACTGGACCTCTGGAAACCTTTGACTTGTTTGGTGGAGGTTGCCAATCGGACCAAGTCCTTCAAGTCCAATTCTCAAGGCTCTGATTCTAAATTAGAACCTACTCGTGTCCCCAACATTGAAGCTCAAATGTGCAAAAGCAAACATAGAGAAGACAAATGCAAAACAAAAGTTGAGGATGAAAAGTCAAATGCTGGTCCAGCAACTTCAGAATCTGTTACACCTAAGAAGCTGCGCAGGATCAATCGAAAAAGGGCTTCTGGATATGGAGATTCTGGCATTTCTCCTCAGGCAGTGCTAGATGCTGCTGGTCCAAAGCATGAAAGAAGAATTGGTCCTGTTTGGTTCTCATTAGTGGCCTCTGAGGACCAGTAAGAGTTTATTTGAGCCTTCAGAGTTTATTGAAGACAGTTTTCTTAAGATTATTGTCTTGGGTTATAAACTGATTCAGATGTCGATGCTTTCAGGGAAGGAGATGCACGCCTCCCGCAAATTTCTGCAAATTACCTGAGGATAAAGTAAGTTCCTTTGTCCAGTTTATTTTCCTTGTCTTACAATTGCTCACTGTATATATTCTTCTTCCTTTTAGTTGAAGATCATAAATTTTATCTGTTGCTTGTTAACACCATGATTCTGACATGTCAGCTATATTGTTTTCTGTACCACAATCTCCTCTAGTATTTCACTAGGAATATGGAAAAGGGAACAGACACATAGTCTTTACCAATTTCACAGAGGAAGTAAATAAATATTATCCTGGTGGAGTCAGTGAAGTCATAGATAACTCAAGTTACATAGCGAATGTTAATGGACTGAGAGTAGAAGGATATGGGCGAAGGCAATGGTACTAATATCCTGGCAGTCTTTGGTAATGTTATATAAAGATCTGGTAAGCTTAAAGTAAACAGCAAAAATGCACGTAAAGGTGTAGTAAAATATTACTTTGATCAGGAAGTACTTCAGTTTTATATTGTTTTATATGAAGATGTCTCTAGTCACTTCCTACTGTTAATTCAGCTCCTATCAACTTATCATGAATGTATCTTTTTTCCCATGTTATGTTCCCTTGGAAGGTGTTAATTTTGCATTGTGGAACATTGATGACATTATGGCATTCGTTATCCTACTTTAATCTTAATCATATTGGAATGCCTTCTGAGCACGGTTGCTTAAAGCTTAGCTTAAATGATTACGGACAGGTAATAGTTATCTCCTGAATGGCCTGTTTGTATTGCGTGATGAATGCTGAAAAGGAAATAAAAGAAATAATATGTTTTTGGTTCTATGTTGCTTGGACTCTTCATTTTTCTTGAAGTACCTGTGCCCATCACTTATGTCTGACACATGGATATGGGGATATGACCTTCAAGGACCCTCCCAATACATAGAGAAACTTAGGAACGACCAAACATTTTAACTTAAACTTTGTTTCTTTCAAGTGGTTCGATCTGTCATCACTAGCTAAACCACCACTGTCAAATTGTTAAGTGCTTTCTCCTGCCTGTTGTTATGCTTTTTCCTCTCCATACATCAAATTTCATGGCAAGTTTACATTTTTTTTATCTGGTTAGTGATTTTTGTTAAACTAAATCAAAAGATTCTAAATCAACGATAGTTATTTGTTAGTGTTCCATGACAAATTTGGTGAAAATGTTCTGCTCATCATGTGTTGCTGCTACAAAAGCATGAAGTTGAACTTATCACTGACTTCTCAAATGGTAGAATGATTAAAAATTTCTTTCATTACCGGAGGTAATTATCATACTTCTTTTATTCTGTGACAGGGACGGAAATATGCCTGTTTCTTTTATTAAAAAATATCTGAAGAAGAAACTGAACCTCACTGATGAAGCTGAGGTGAGTTAATCTCTTCTTGAATATTGTTCTGTAACAATACACGAAGAAGAAATGTTATCATAAAGATTATGGCTTCCATTTTGGTTTTCAAGGTTTATCTTTCCATGGAGCTCATTTCTAAAATGTTATAGAGATGCTTTGTTCTCCACTTCATCCATATGGGATAAGCCATATGCATGTATAACCAACCCGTATTATGCATGGAATCCTCTATCTTAGTTTCACTCCTCTTTAATAATTTCAACTTATTTAGCTACATCGCATTCATTCTGCGGAAATTTTCTGAAAACCCCTGAAGAAAATATAGGAAAATTTCGGCAATCAGATGAGGTAGCTCAAGCCATTCTATTGCATTCTTTGGTAAACAAGGTGCATGGTTTTTATTACATTTTTGGGTTATATTTCTTGGCAGGTTGAGATCAAATGCATGGGACAACCTGTAGTTCCCACATTGCAGTTGTATAATTTAGTCGATCTGTGGCTACAAACAACAGCAACATCACAGCGGGTACCGGCAACCCTCGGTTCATCCGCAAAGGAATTCGTCATGGTGTTGGCATATTCACGAAAAGTTCAAGATGAGTAATAACGCTCTCTGTATCTCATTCTTTTCCCCACCACAATCAATAAATCTCTTTATACATTGGAGTTTCATTGTTGATAAGAGTTAGGACATTTTGATCCGGCATGTATGTTCTTCTACATAAGCTATGTATTAAACGAGACTTGGTTCATATAATATAATCGAGATCTTTGTGGCTATCGAACATCGATTCGTTATCGAGATCTTTGTGACTAGTCTTTCATTGGCAACTCAACTGGCTCTTACATTGTCCATTCACAAGGATCAATATTGTTCTTGCAGTGACCCCTGTTTCAAGCAATAAACGATAGATCCAAACCCAGAGAGAGGGAAGAAAATTATCATCACACAGAGCTTAACAAAAGTATACGTTTATGACTTAATTTTTGGTATTTATCTTCAATTTTAGATCGAAGGCTTGAATTCCTATTATTTTTCAAAGCATTACGTACAAAATTAAAAGAACCAACGAAGAAGAAAAAAATTCTAAAAGAGATCAATTTATCAGCGTTAAATTAACAATTTGGATTCAAACGCGGGTGTACTCAGCTCCGGTGGGGCTGCCTACAACCGGAAACAGCCCGCCCTCGGAATCGTCAGGTTCATCGGAGTACAAATCTTTCGTTCCCCTAAACGCAGCGTGTAGTGTCACGATAAAAGCCCCAATCAAAACGGAAACCAACACGTTGAGCCAAACGTCGGTCAAAACTAGGGCAACAACCGTAAGCACGGTGAGGATGGCCAGCACGATGCGGTCGTCGATCCCTAATTATAAAAAATTACAAACCGATCCCTAAATTATAGAGCATTATTTTTTGAGTCACCCATCTATTAAATGTTACAAAATGGTCATGTGACTATTCATATGTTCTATATTCATCATTTTGCATGAAAAAAACTGACGATTGTTTGATCTTGACTTTAACATGTTGATCGAGATATGATAAAATTTGATCTTCTAATCATTTGAATTGTATTTTGTGGTTTAACTCTTTATTTATATTATATCGTCATGTCAATGATTGAAATTTCATGTCACTGAGTCAGCTCTTAAAAGTAGCGATAATACTAGCATGCATCATTAAAATATAATTTTATCATATTTCAGTCACCAAGTTAACATCCAGTTCAGATAATCGTCATCTTTTAATAGAAAACAACTAGTTTAGAACATATGAATTAAATGATTATTTTGTAATTTTTAATAGTCGAATGACTTAAAAGTTTAATATCCTATAATTGGGAGACCATTTGTATAGTTTACCCTATTTTAAGTATTTCTTTTTCTTTTAAATTTCACAAGGAACCCTCACGTGTCAATCCGTCTATTATTGTTAATTTATTATGGTATTAAGTGGGGCTGATAATGAGTTTTTTATTTAGCGGGCAAGTCAAAATTTATTTTGTTATTTACGTTATTTTTTTACAGTGTTATTAGAACTCGTCACGTCTAGGTAACGGATTTCAATAAAAAACATTTTTTTATTCGAACTCGTCACCGACATAACGAGTTCGAATAAAATATATTTTTTATTAAAATTTATCATGTCGAGATAAAAAGTTATAATAAAAAATATTTTTTATTGGAACTCGTCACCTATATCACTATAAAAAAGACCATAGATCTCAAAATAAATTTTGACTTGTCCTAATGGACTAAATAAAAAAACTCATATACCTTATTGGGTCAAATTTGCTATTAAGTGGGATTATTAATTTATTCAATAAAATACTAAAATTTGAAATTTGACATTTTCACTAAAAGTTCAATGCATGTCTACAATGAATATAATATTTAAAAGGATTTGAACAAATCCTATGAATTTTATTATTTGTATGAAAAATAATTTGATATATATGACGTGTAAAATTTATACATTAATATTTATTTTAATGATTTATCAAATTAAGATTTCAATTTAAAGTATAAGAATTGAGTATTAAGATTTCAATATAGTGATGTACTACTCTACTTTGTGATCCCTTCCGCATGTGGGCTCTGCCTATGTGCAAGGCTTCTGTTTTGTGTAGTTTAAGAACAGATCCTCAAATGAAAACTACGAGTAGGGGATAAACAAAATTCGACTTAAAAATAGATAGTTTCGATTTGAATTGGCTCTACTCGGTTTAAAAAAATAAATTGAATTTGATCGTAAAATATAGCTCGAATAACTTGAATAGTAGTTCGAACAGTTTGATTTTCGGGTAAACTACACCAATGGTCATTAATGTTTGAATAAGTTTTCGTTTTCTCTACTGAAGTTTCAACAGTAACAAATTAGTCACTAACGTTATCGGTTTGTGACAAAATGGTCACTGACGTTATCGATTTGTAGCAAAATGGTCACTTCATCATTATCTCGGTTAAATTGATGATGTGGTATCATTAATAAAAAAGATCATTATTTAGTTTTACCCCTAAACTATTGTTAAAACATCAAATAGGTCCTTAAACATTGATTTTATATCTAATTTATCCCAAAAGCTTTCTAATTTCCAATTTTTTTAACATCCCACCATCTCAATTATATTCTAACCACTTTCCTTACAAAGCAAAAATCACACTTAAACAAACTCTCACTTGTTAGTTTGTAGGGGTGAGCAAAACTTGACTCGAAAAATCGATCTTTTCGAATCGACTCGATTCCAAAAAACTCGACTTGAATCGACTCGAGTTCTAATTTCATAAACTCGACTCAAGAAAATTTCAAGTTCAAATCGAGTTGTAAATACACCTTCAATAACTTGGAATTTTTAGTAATTAGTTGATTGTTTTTCAAGTTTGAGTCGAGTTCCTCAACTTTATATAATACATGTATATCATATATGAAAAATATGAAGAAATGTATATGTATTGTATATGATTATAAAAAAACCATTGAAATTGGAACGAATAATATCATAATATTATAAAACATTCACAATTAGATTTAAACAAAAACTCAAAAATTCGATTCGACTCAGCTCGAATTTTATAAACTTGAATCAACTTGGAAATTTAATTTTGTAAGGAAGGTGGTTCGAATATAGTTGTGGCGGTGGGATGTTTAAAAAAACTATAAATTATAAGACTTTTGGGATAAATTATATATAAAATCATTGTTTAAGGACTTATTTGATGTTTTAACAGTAGTTTAAGGGTAAAACTAAATATTAACCTTTTTATTAACATTGCCACATCATCAATTTAATAGATATAACGGTGGAGTGACCATTTTTTTTACAAATCGATAACGTTAGTGATCATTTTGTTACAAATTGATAACATTAGTGACCAATTTGTTACTTTTGAAACTTCAGTGGGAAAAACAGAAAACTTACTTAAACATTAGTGACTATTGGTGTAGTTTGCCCTTGACTTTTTTAGTAATTAGAATATTGATTTTTAAGTTTGAGTAGAACATCTCAATTTTGTACAATATACTATATCATATATGAAAAAATGTGAAAAATATATGTATTATATATGTTTATAGAAAATTATTTAACCACAATAATATTATAAATATCTATAATTAAATTTAAACAAAAACACGAATAACTTGACTCGCCTTGAAAAAAAAATAAAATAAAATTGGAGTTATAAAATAGAACTAACTCAAAAGTTTTAAACTCGACTCAATCAAACGCTAATCTTATTAAAAGCACATTTAAATTAATTAAGTTTGGAGAGTGTGTTTAATACAACGGTGTACATTTTTTAATTATTAGACGTCGATGGTTGCATTCATGCATTTTCATTGACAAGTATATGCTCAGCCTTAATAAATATTATGGTTGCATTTTCATTCACAAATATTTCAATGAAAAATAATCAAATAACTATAATAAATTCCCTAATATTTAGAAGATAACTCTTTTTTATTAATATAAGGTAATTATAAGTGATAGTATATGTTCTAAAGACTCTTAACATTCTAACATCGAACACTAATACTATGCAATCGTTGGTTCCCAATCCCAACATCTCAAAGATAGTAACCAATGAGTCAGTTTAGTTTATACATGTTTATTAGAATTATAATTAGGTACTTTACCCTCCCTCTCTTCTATTTCACTTACTATACTTTTAATTTTTTCAATTTAATCACTGAACTTTATGCATTGACTTTTTTGGTAAAAAAGCCACGTCATAACGTCGTTAGTGAGAAAACGATTGAGTGACCAAAAAACCCAATGTATCATGTTCAGAGAGTAAATTGAAAAAAAATTTAAAATACAACAAGTGAAATAAAAATAGTAAAATTCAGTTACTAAGTCTATACTTTACCCTATTATAAATTGAAAAACTATCACTAAAAATGTATTTTTAATTTAAAAAATTATTTTAACATTACTCGACTTTATAATAATTTTGATTGAATATAAGGTAATACATATTCAAATTCTTTCAATCACTTAACGTATTCCTGTTTACGTGCTCAAATATAAAATCTTAAGAGATAATAATAATCTCTTAATTATTAAAATTGTTTATTTCGTGCCGACTGACTCTAAATTAAATCGGTACTCAATGTGATTATGGTATGTAGAATAATTAAAACATAATGTAAAAAGTAAAAGGAGCAAAAGAGGAGAATTGAAGGGTGAGTCTCCAGTGTGCCCAACCCTTGGCCAGTTTCTCAATAACTCTGCAATTTACGGCAGTACAAGACAAACTGTAAGGAACCCTCAAAGCTTGTCTGGTTCCGGAACAAGTGACGATAAAAAAAATTCTGAAACTGAAATGGCAGGCTTAAGCAGTAATTAAAGACCCAGAAATGGCAGGAGAATAAATAATAAGAAAAAACAGATAATGAAACCAAGGTCTTTTGCTTGGGTCCCACCGTCAAATATGTGATGGAGACGGCAGTTTCATTGCTTCATCTCTTCCCCTACCCCCTTATTTATAAATCTCCCTTCCATTGAATTTCTTTCCCTGTCTCGAATTCATTTCTTTAGTAATATAATATAGTAAAAAAGATGGTAGCTTTTTGTTTGCGTTATGGGCTTATGGCCGTTTGTGAAATTCTCTCGGTGACAAAGTCTTCTCTTTCACACCTTTCAGTCTCAGAATAATTTTAAAAATAAAACGTGGGTGCTGAAGAATTTAGGGCTTGAG